AGAGAAGACAGGAGGAACAAATAAAGTGTGGAGTGTTTCCTCTCAGGACATCAGCGCTACTTAATGTGCTGTAGTAAAGGAACGTTTTCAGAGGAGGTGAAGCGAGAAAATAAGATACGATGGAACATGGTGACGGGAACTTTTAAAATGGCAAAAAAAAGGAAAATCAGCACCAATTAAAGCTCAGAATAAAGTAAATAAAAGAGCGAGAGGCGAAGGCAGATGCAAGGGCAAGTGCAAAAAAAAAAAAAATCAATGCAAGATTTCTCCAGTGTTACCTTAATCATTCCCTCTGATCTCTTCATCCTTTCAAAAACAGCTACATAAGCGGCCAATATGTGAGCAGAAAAACAACCTGTAATATGTTCAGTGGCCTTAACACACAGCTGATCCTGCCCTTCAACAAGCCTTTTTCTTATTTTACTTCATCTTTGTTCCACACACTCTCAAACCACACATTCATCAACCTCTTCAGAACCAGTAATTGAAGGCCGGTCTATGATACTGACGGATGTGCATGAGAAAATGAGATAATCAAGGCTAAGAGATGGGGAGGGAATCACAGTAGTTACAGATAATTCCTTAGCACTTTTTTAAACTGCTTGAAACGCACATTTATGTTTTAGGTGTAGGTGAGAGCCAGAGCAACAAAGTGAAAACTGAGGCTGACGACCCACCTGATCACAGAAGGTGGCTTTATCTCTCCCAGTGGGTGCATAGGAGGTGGCGGCGGTGGAGGGTCGTGAGGTCGGGAATACATTCTGTCCCCTGTACGGTTAAGCAGTTCGTTCATCTGAGTGTAGGGCAGCGCCGCCAGTGAGAAGGGCCCGTCCAAATGCTCCATGTACAAATGAGTCCTGAGCAGAGAAACCCAGTCATTCATTTACACTGTGTTTGGTTCAGCTGTGAGTCTTTGTGTGTGCGTGCAGTTTTGTGTGTTCTTTGCACTTACTATTCTTACCCGCATAAAGCTCATCTGTCAGAACTTAAATCATGTCACTTAAATCATGTCACTTAAATCATGTCACTTAAACAAAACCTTACATATTCTGGGTAAGTAGAGGTGCTGTATATAGAACTGAGGTATTTTTCCCAATCATTTTAGCTTGTGTGTGTAGAATATTTGTAAAGGATTAAAGAAAAATAAACAAGAAAAACAAACACAAAGCAAACTCACACACAAAAAACAGAAGATACTAATACTAATATACTAATTATATTTACTGTGGAGTTTGTGTTTGATTGAACACAGCGCTAAGACTTTTTGATGATCAGAAATTATGTAGTAATTGGGTCATGGAATTCACAGAGTCCAGTAATCGTAGCCAGCAACACTTAAGAACACAATGCAAAAGTCCTGAGCAACACCTGATTTAAGTTTTCCTAAATTTGAAAGCCAATATTTAGTATGACCACCTTTATTCTCCACCACAGCCTGAACCTTTCTGGTCATTTCTTTAAGTCGTCTTCAGGAATAGTTCTCCAGGCTTCTTGAAGGACATTCAGAGCTCTTCTTCAGATGTTGGCTGCCTTTTGTTCTGTTCTTTGTCAAGAAGATCCCACATTGCCTTAATAATGCTGAGGTCACGGACCAGTATGCTTTTACTGTACTGGCAGCGTGTTTGGAGTCATTTTCATGCAGAAAAATGACAAATTAATGTTTTCACTCAGAGAACATCTAGATGGTCTTGTATGGGGGATCAAAATCTGATGGTACATTTCTGTGTTTATAATTCCATCAATTTTGACAAGATCTCCAACAACACTGGCTGAAACGCAGCCCTAAATCATGACAGAGCCTCCACTGTGTTTTACAGATGGCTGCTGTGCCTCTCTCCTGATCTCCACACCGATGATGATTCGAAGATCATCGAAAAATGTGGAATGGTCACCACGTGAAACTTGTTGTTCAGTTGGCATACCTCAGCAGTGAGTGGCTTCTTGACCAACTGAGGGTTTAGATCCATCTCTCAGGTCCTGAGTCCAGTCTTTGCAGGATTTCTTTCTTAGAACAATTTTTAACTCTTCATCTGCTGGGAATAGTTTTGTAGGCCTACCACGTCTTCATTTCTCCTCCACTTGTCTAGTTTCCTCATTTTAAGGACACTAAGCCTGAAGAACTATTGCTCAAGGCCTTTTTTTTAAATGTACGAGGATGGCTGGCTTCTTTTAAGCAAAATACTTTTAAAAAACAAGACCTGCGCTCATTATGTTCTTTAAGGTCATGTTTATGTTTTCTTCTGGCCATTACAGAGATCTGGTCACACAATATACATATACACATAAAAACAAGTAAGTAATAATAAGTAAAGAGGCACTTTTCATAAAACAAACGTATTCTCACAGGCCACAAAAGTATACAGTTCCTGTTTCCATTTCTCAGCAGTTTAGAATATTTTTTATTCACAAGAATGAATTTCTGCTACAATTATTCTGTTGACAATGCCGTTGCAGTCTAGGTGAGTGCCCATCAAAAGACACTGTTATCCACAACATTGTAAATCAAACGCCGACAACCACATGTATGGTCCATTTGCTTGAAATCTATTCTCATCAGTGCTCGCAGAAAAGATTTTGTGTCAGCTATCCATGCTACTGACAAATCCAACAAAACTACCAATTTGCATAAAATGTTTTCTTATTAATCACATTGACTGGCAGGGAAATTACTGAACACGAGTGGCACTGCAGCTCTGAGGCACAATAAAAGCAATCACAACTGTGAAGGATCTTAATCATCCCTTTTGTTGCTGCATTTCCCCAGTGCCACAGAAGTGTAAATTGCGTGAACAGATTCTCTGTGGACAGGACACTATTTATTTTTGTCCATATGATTGATTTCATCCTGCAGATGAATCCGTTTTTATCAAGTTTTTCAGATTTTCAGCTCTCTAACTAGTGCCGTCCACCTTCACTCACCTGTTGTCGTGATAACCCGCAGATCCGTTGGCCTCTCTGTGTTTGTCTTCAGGTAAGTCCTGGGCGAGCTCTGCCCCCAGTGCCAGTTTCTGCCACTCCTTCTTACGATCGTGAGGTGCTCGCGGTATCTTCTCCGGCTCGTGTGGACGGTCGATCGCCTTCAGCTTTAGAAGAGGAGGCGAAGACGGTGACGGGGATGGAGGGGGATGGAATAGTTAAAAGGAATAATGGGAAGTGGTGGATGAATCCACAAGAGGTGTTTTGGGGATGACAATGAGGATGAGAGTGGAAGGAGAAGAGCAGGAGACAAAAAATAATATTAGCCATTAAATATATTTTCCAAAACTGATGAAGGATTGTTAAACATTTGAACGACAGAGCTTGAAAATTACAGTCAAGATTTATCAATGCAGAAGTAGAAAGAAGCGTTCACACACTCAAACAACCAAATCCAAAACGTAATAACTGATCCAAACTGTCCCTCTTTGTAATTTACTTTAAGGTGCCAAATAAACATCAACCTACCACAACAGTCTTAACAATATCTGTGCTTTCTAATCATCTTAAACTTAAAAGCACATTTTTTTTTAAAGGGGTAGCGCTTCACAGAAAATACTGCATCACACAAGCTTGGGAGCAGGGAGTGCTCATTGACTGACTGAATCAAATTGTGGTAAATATTTTTTTTCCAAAGCTTAAAAGTCTATAAAGAAAGATGGGTAATATTTTGTGATAATCTCGTGCCCATCGTCAAACAGCAATCCCTGACTCCCAGATTTCAGCATGACTGATTTGCAACAGAGGGAAAAAAAAACAGCAGCAAGCTGCTGAGGTAGAAGGTTGTTCTTTTTTTTGTTTTTAAATCAAATAATCGCTGTTTTTTCACATACCTGCCCTGGAAGGTCTAAGTACCTATAGACCTGATCATACATGCGGGGGTCCTGCAACTACAAGAACAAAAACAAAAACCACAAGAGAAGCACCAGGGGTGAGGGGACGGGGTTCAAAATAATCAACACGGCACAGGATTGAGCACAGCGCTGCTGCACACAGTCAACGGGGACAAAAACAGAGTGGGCGGTGAGAAGTAGGACAAAAGGGAAAGAGGGGGGGGAAAAAAAGTGCTGTTAAACAGAAAAATGACAACGTGCACAGCGCGGGGGACGTCACAATGGCACGCAAAGACCCACACACACGACCACACACACCCACGGTGAATATAACAGAGCGCCGCTTCATCCCAAACAGACAGACTAAGGCAGAAAAGGAGAGATCTCACTGGAATGGGGGGAGCAAATCTACAAAGGTGTGTTTCTACATGCGATGCACAGCAACAACCCACACTGGAGAATGACATGCAAAACAGAAAATGCACACACTCGTGCTAGCCAACCCAAAACAATGAGAGAGCAGATTATATTAAAGAAGGGCAATAAAAACATAAAGGGGACTTTTCACAGTTAATCTAAATATAAAGATATGCATGAAAACACTTTACAATCTTTAGTCAACTTAAACCAGCTAACAATATAAATCAATGTGAAAAATTATTCTCAACGCTAAACATAGACAACTGTAATAAAAGCAAACTTGCGAACTAATAAAATAAAACGTATTTATTCTGCAAAAACTGGATAAAACAAGTGAGTTTGGCTTTAAATATTATGTTTCTACTTTCTATCTTCTTGTGGTGCTCAGCTTATTTGCTTTATTAAGGACATGCATGTAAATTTTCACAAATATATTTACAGTCGACAGCTGCGTATAGCGTAGATATTAACCAATACACCGTTAACTTCAGTTTGCAATTAAGAGTGAACAGCATATTGGTTCAGGGACTCTTTTCAGCTGCTGGTCTATACACAGCTGGCGCTTTGGAGAATATTTACAGTATGTGGGAACAATTGTGTTCATGATAACGAGGGATCATGTCAGCCAGTACAAGTGCATCATGTGGCTGTGATTTAAAGAGTTTTACAAGAAGAAGGGGGACGACTGCAGCACAGGAACACTGTTTTTTTAAGGCTACACAGACAGTACCTGTTAGTGGGATGCTTTTATGATGCGTTTTTTGTGCCTTTTTTTGACATTAAGACAAAAAAAGAAAGCACAGACATGCTTGTGTGTTAGTAATTTAACAAGACATATTTGTGCTGATTATAAAAACACAATCCGTTTCAACAACACAAGCCGATATTTAGTTAGGGTATCAAACTATACCAATATTATATCTAGCTGTAGACGTACCAAACAGGTGTGTGTGTGCGTGTGTGTGCTCAGATGAAGCATGTTGGCTGAGAGGTGACAGGTTGTGAACAGCATCTCCTCTGGTTTGGTTAAATGATGCTGATTTTGTTCGCTGAGAGAATAAATTCCAACTGTAACGCACATCGATTCGGTTCTGAATCATCGTGACCTATTATCCCTGATGAGGCATCAACTGAAGAAAAGCATCTCCGCTTAAACACACACAGTCAGACACACAACCGCCTCCTCTGCTTAAACACATTAATATATCTTAACTAAAACTTTATTATTTATTAGGTTGTCAAGACCTTTTACCGTGTCTAAGCTGCGCGGGGCCTCTAAAATCCAGCTGCAATCATCGAATCAGTGATGAGTTTTACTTTTCCTAAACTCGGCTTCCTGAAAGGTTTTCAGTTTTAGTCTCGTGGCAATATATGAAGAAACATTAAATAACACTTGAAATAAAAATAAGCTAATGTACTATAAAATTCCATCTATGGGTCTATAGACTATAATGAGTGAATTTTTGCTTTAATGACATAAGAAGAAGGGTTGGCAGGAAGGACAGGTGGCAGTCAAACGTATAGTGTGAGACAAACCGTCCATCAAACAGAGTGTCGGAGTGATGGCTTTAATGCTGTAGTGCAGCAATCAATGGGAAAATAAGTTTCTGTTAATGATGGGGAAAATAGATTAGATAGTGTTCGTACAAGAGAGAAAATGAGACATTTTTTTCTGTGAGCGTGTGTTTGTAAGCATGCATGTGTGAGTCACAGCTGTTATATATGTAGCTAATTTTCAATGGGCTGTGTGCCTCTGCTAGGTTGTCATCTTTCATCTGAATGGACTGGTACTGGCAGAGGAAGTGCCGCTGTGTAAGCACAGTGTGTATATGCAACACAGCGGTTATAGATTTATTTTATATACAGACTGTATTCCTGTGTGCACGCCTGTGTCCAGACCGTTATACACACACTACGGGCATGTGCGATCATTTGTGCGTATAGTTTAAACTGACAGACTCAGCAGAATCGTGGCTATGTAACCCCCCCTCCCCAACCCCCATCACAGGAATGCCCACAGAGGCATTCAACCACTGCTGACAATAACGCTAGCCTCTCACAATATGCACGCATAGCTGCTGCTGCTGATCTTTGTAAAATAAACCATTTGGATGCAGATCCTTAATGAAGCCTCATGCTAATACTGAAATAAAGTCCTAGCAAGGTGAAGAAGGCTCAAAAATAGCACGAAATATGAAAAGTTACTGATGCCTTTACTGCAACAAACGCAAATGTCTTCCTGTACAATGCACTCTGACGTATGCAGTGTGCTTTTGTAACAATCCAAGCAGAAGACGTCCCGCTTCATATGTCCTTTAGTGTTAGTTTGACCAAACCACAAATCAAAAGACATGTGGAGGTAAGTCAAAAGCACTACCAACTACCACACAGGTAAGTTACTGCTCTGAGTTGTTTTGCAGTTAGTATAGTGAGTTCTCAGCGCTGTATCCCAAATTCCTTATTTTCAAAAGGTGTGCACTGACACGCCTACAGGTATGGCTTGAAATTATTCATATTTAAACTCAAACAGTACACATTTTTTTTAATGTCATTGTTCATTGCTCATCGTTAGACTGCACTAAAGATGTAAACATAAAGTATTATTAGAAGATTATATTATATTAGAGTACATTATTAGTATATATACTCTAATATAGTATATTATCTAGAAACACACAAAAGATGTTTTACTGAGCAGCATACTTTGTGTGTGTTAAAGCCACAGCTGTATGTATTTAAAGCACATGTAACCACAGGCTATGTTTAAAACTTGAGTTTTGTCATCTGCCTTTTTTGTAGATTGTTGGTGAAAGGTAGTACACATCAAGGACTCTTGCCCCCCCCTTTTTTTTTCTTAAACAGAACTGGGATGCAGGTAAGTGTTAGAGGGTTGTTAGTGATGGGCTTGAGGTGGGCAGCTCACTTGCCCAAAGCAAACCAGAGGGGGGAGTGGAGAAGTGGGAGGATAGAGAGGGCTGCAGGCCACTGCAAAGCAGAGCAGATGCTCTGGTGGAGGTGGAGAGAGGACAAGGGAGAAGCTCTTACCTCTGGGGGAGTAAGGGAGGGAGGAGGGGTTTCAGAGAGGACTCTTATAAGGCTCTTGGGACACACAAGATAAGGCATTTCCAGCTGCACAGAGTTAGATAAAGATTCAGAAAATAATGTAAAAGCAACGGTAGAGAAGAACAAGGACAGTGGAAGCTAGATCCTGAAGCAGGATCTTGACTGAACTTTACTGTTAAAACATCACTTGCTTTATGCTTTACATTTATTAGCACTTAGCTCAAAATTTAAGCTAAAATGGAAACAAAAAGCTGTAAATTGACTGTAGACAAGCTGAGTTCATATAAATATAGCTAGTAAATTGGGGTAAGAATACTGTGAATGCACTGTCTGCTTGTCTCTTTTTTGCTTATTAGCCATCGTTGCTATTGCAGTAACAAGCTATTAAACGAACACAGCTCCACTAGCCTGCAACAAGCCATAAGAGCAACAGAAGGAGGTGTACTGTTATGAGGCAGGTGGCAGAATTATGCCTTGCGTTGTAGGTGCAGATGTCTCCTCTACATGTGCCGTAGTATCACAGAAATTCGATTGGAAATAAACAGTTTTTCATACCAGTCTCCTAAAGCAAAACATCTTGATAGTTAAGGCTCTCTAGCATATATGCAACAGTGACTGCAATGTCGTTTCAGAGTCATTACATTTACTCGGGATGACTTAAGCTTCTTGGGAACCTGAAAACAGTCACAGATCTGCAGCTGCATTATCAGTTGGTGAGCAAAAAAGTAAAGGACGACATTGTCAGTGGAGACATAAAAGTGACTTTTCTATATCATGTGTTTAAAAAAAGAGCCATTCCAGTCCCACTCAGGAACAAATGCTAGAACTGCCCACTATTAAACAACCAACACCCACTGGTATTTATGAGAACTGGGAGCCATGTGAAAAAAATATATTCCTGCTTATAGGGAAGTATTTAAAATTGGGGGGAAAACATCAATAGATTTCTGCTCCAGCCACGAGTGCTTTAATGAGACAGGAATAGCAGAGGAAGAGCAAAGGGGATTCTTCACAAAGGGGATTCAGATGTTGGAGATCTCGATGCCTAGTGGACCCAAACACTGATCTCAAAGAGAAACACACACTTTCCGTCTTTCTCTCTGTTCCTGTTCTTCTCATTCGCTGAGACTTTCACCCTCTGTTTCCTCTGACTAGCTCAGCACATAGTCTACTGCTAATCCACTGAGGCTAACACAGAGGCTAATGAGATTAGGAAACTGCAGGTTTCTTCCCCCCTCTCTCTGCCATATGCTGCTTTTCATTTATCACTGGCTTCTAGCTGGCTGGGCCTGTGAATACCACAATTTGTTAAATGTGGCTTCAGTCTAATGATTAGTGATGTGACCATGTAAGAAAATAGTTTGGGGATGAAGAAGATTAAATACAGTGCTGGGAAACACTTACATGTTTGAGATCATGAAACTAATTTATAATATTAGTTAAAGATAACACAGATTTAATACAAAATGTAGTTAATTAATGAAATCATCATTCATAAAGTGGGAAAAAAAACAAAAAAAACCCCCAAACTATCCAAACCCACCTGGCCCCGAGTGAAAAAAATAATTGCTCCCTAAACCTAATAACTGGTTGTGCCACCCTTGGCAGCAAGAAGTGCAATCACTTTCACATTGCTGTGGAGGAAGTTTTGTCCACTCTTCTTTGCGTAATTATGTTAAGTCAGCCACATAACTGTTTACTCCAAAGAATCTCAATCTGATTTAAGTCCAGACTTTGACTAGGCTACTCCAAAACCTTGTTTTCTTGAGCCATTCAGAGGTGGATTTGCTGGTGTGTTTTGGATCATTGTTCTGCTGCATAGCCCAAGTGTAACTGAGCTTAAGGCATGAACTGATGTGGGGACATTTTCCTTCAAGGTTTAGAGAGCAGAATTCATGGTGCCATCAATTACAGCAAGTCGTGAAGCAGCAAAGCAGTCCCAGATCTTCACACAACCACCACCATGTTTGACTGTTGGTGCGATCTTTTTATGAAATGCTGTGTTAGTCGTAACGGGACTCAAACCTTCCAAATGTGAGACGAGACTTTATGTTCCTTTTGGTCAGCAGTGGTTTTCTCCTTGGAACTCTCTCATGGACGAGAGAGTGTCCAGTCTCATTCTCGTTGTTGAATCGGGAACTCTGACCTTAAATGAGGCAGGTGAAGCCTGCAGTTCTTTAGATGTTGTTCTGGGTTCTTTTGAGACCTCCTGGATGAGTTCTCGACATGCTGTTGGACTAATTTTGGTACGCCAGCCACCCCTGGAAAGGTTTGTCACTGTTCCAAGGCTCTCACTGTGGGTCCTGGAGTCCCAAAGCCTTAAGAATTGCTTTGTACCCCTTTCAGGACTGATACATGTCAGTGATTTTGTTTCTCAGCTTTTTCTTTGAATCATGGCATGTTGTGTTGCTTTTTAAGCTCTTTTAGCCTACATCACTTTGTCAAACTGGTTCTATTTAAGTGATTTCTTGATTCAACAGGGTTCACAGTAATCATGCCTGGGTGTAGCTAAATAAAGGAAGTAACATCCTATTATTCCCACACCTCAGTTTTCATCTTTCGGGCAGTTTTCCTCGTTCTTACTTTAATCATTCCTTCAGCTTTCATATGATTACCACATTTTCCACGACCGTGAATGTGACCTTTCAAGTACCTTTCAAGTACCTTCCATACTATTCATTCTTTTATATAACTTTGTCTTGATTCCTTCTTTGATTATTCTTAATAACAACCCTTACACATTGAGTTCATTCTAGCACTGACATTTTAAAAACAGGAGACATCAAGGTTGCTCAAGAAACTGACCATTTTCTTTAATAAATATCAGAAATGTAATTTGAAAAGAAAAGAAAAAGAGGTATTGCTTAAGGCGCGTGTTTAACATTGATATCGGTTTCATTATTCTGGCCACTGATCTATGATGGATGTCCTTGTTGTTACTTTGTTCAAGGAGTTATTCACTCCCAGCCTTCAACATCCTGAGCTGAAATACTATATATATTGAGACTAATTGCAGTGAAGGCAGGTTGCTAGTGTGAAGCAAAGGTTGGTGGCAGTAATTTTGGCTGTCCTAGTCTCCAACCACCACCTTCACTAGTGTAACTGCGGCCTAGATATACTGTTTTTATGTTATTATAATATGTTATTTAAAATTAATGTCAGATGAAAAATGTAATTACAACTTTTGCAGGTTCAGTTTAAAAAAAAGAAAGAAAAAAGTTTTTTCTTCACGGTACAACTGTATCTGCTACTCCAGTTTCATTTACTAAAAACTATGGCGTTCACACCAGATCATCATTAAGGTCTAGAGCAGTACATATGTGACAAGAAAAGCCATCAAACAAAAAACTAAACTAAAGAAATAAGACGAATTTAAAAATATAATTCAAGATAAACAACACAGCTGCTGCAGCCAGAGCCCAGAAGCATAAGCGTAATGTCTTAGTATCGCTGCACCATCTTTAAAAATATATCTGACTTTAATTAAAACTGTGCATCCATTAAATAAAGGTGTTATTTAGATGGATTCTTCTGGCGTGTAAAACAGTTTTAAGCTTAAGTTGCAGTGTTAAATGATGTAAAGAAAATTATTTTAACTATTAAGTAGTCTTACAAATATTTTATAAGGCCAATGAGAGACCTATTAAGGTTTAGTGCCTTTTGATTTAGGATTAGGTAGCTATAGATAAAAGCTATTTAATTGTTGTATATTTCAGTTGCTTGCAGCTAGTAAGGAAGAAAAAAGGAAGCGCTTAATACAGTTTCTATCTAACTGATGCTTATGATAGAAAGCAGAACAATTTACACAGTCTGTAGCTCCACAGACCCTCTTATTATCCACACAGCCCCAAATTATGGTCACTTTGTACATGTTGATCTGTTATCTTGAACAAAACCTGCTCCGTGATAAAAAATAAACTTGAAGCTTCCCAGCTAATGTTAATGTTGTCAGAAAAAAATAATTCAATTTGGAGGAACAAAGCGTCTGCAAACTTCTGAATTTTCTTCTGAAATTATAAGATGAAGTATCAATGGTAAACATAATTACAGCTACAAATGCATAAGCACGCACACACACACACTGAACCCCATGACTGAGAGGCCCATTAAGATGATGTGGCAGAACCACTCAATCAGCAAATTGATGAAGTGTAAAGTTATTAAAGATCTAAACCCGGAATTTATGTGTGTATATGCGAGTGCTTTTTCTATCCTTAATCTTTTCAATGAGTGATTCTGCATGCTTCCAGCACGCATGCATGCACACGCACCTTCTTTGAGCCATCTTTGTCCTGTTTCTCAATGTGACCATGTATCCACTATGATGAAACCACCATATATGTTTGTGTAATAGCTCTATTCCTCCATATATCCGGTTCTCCCTGTGAATGTCTTTAAGGCCTTTCCATGGGGTCTGTCTAAGTGCCATTGTGGTGAGAGGGAAATGAACATGGCTTTACAAGCTGAGCCCACCCGGAGCTTTAATTAGAAGGAAATCATTGGAATGAGCTCTGGCTGCAAGCGGTCATATCAGCCTAACCCTCTGGAGCAAATAAGCTTTACCTAATGTTGCATGTTGTAGCTTTCTGTTTCATTTACTGCTTAAAAAAAATGTGCACGCAGACTAGTAAACAACCACAAATATCACTACAGTTACTCTTATTCTCTCAATCCTCCAACTAATTCTCAGCAAAACTTGTCCTCTGTGCGTCATTCCCACAATCATTAAAAACCTCATAACCAGCAAATTATATCCTCGGTGTTCACATAAACCTTCAGCAGAAAATCTCTCTTTGCTCCTCAGTGACGTGATTGTAACGAGCTTTGATTGACTGCGGGGGGGCAAAATGGGGAGCATGCACCGCTTCCCACGCAGGAAAATGCAAGCTGGTGCTGATTAGAGCTCCTGATGCTGAGGGTGGGAAACCCCTCGGTTTGAGTTGGGGGGGGGG